CCTGAAAGAACAAATAAAAATGAAAATTAAAATATATAGCTGAAAATAACAATTATATTAAGCAAAAAACCCTGGAATGGAATTACAATAAAATAAAATACAAGGAACAATTTGAAATTGAACCATCAAAATGAAATGAAAAATTCAAAGATTTCAAGCCAAGTTAAATCACGACGTTTAGAATGTCAGTATCCACAATCAATTTCGGCTGATTAGTCATCACCCAAAGACGATTGTTGATATTAATGATCAAAACTTCGTGAAGTAACTTGGCTTGATATATTTTAATTTTAATTTTTTCAATTTTCAATTTTTTGCTTAATTTTTTTATTGTAATCTGCTTTCAGGGTTTTTTTGCTTAATATAATTGTTATTTTCATCTATATATTTCAATTTTCATTTTTATTTGTTCTTTCAGGGATTTCAAATCATTTCATATCATTTCAGACAATGGAAGTATGAAGTAATGAAATTCAAAATTATTGTACTTGATATTTCAGAAAATTCACCTATTTCCAGAAAAAATTTGTACATGAAGAAGTTGAATTCATTTGATTAAAAATAATAAATAACGATAGTTTGAAATATTTTATATATATTTATCAAATATTTTTTTTAGGAAAATATTTACATGCCAGTTGAAATGTATACATGTGGTATTTGATGAAGAAATAAAAATACATGCTCCGTCTTTTCTTGATGGACTATTATCTACATTCCTGTGCTGCCACGCCTTTGGCTTCGCATATCTCCCATAAAATGGGGGAATACTTGAAGAAATTCAACGGTGAGTGTTAAAAACTGTGCTATTCTCTAGATTTTTGATAATTCCAATACTCTCTTTTGTAAACAGTTTCAGAAGTTGGAAATCAGTTTTATTTTTCATTTTTCCATTAATGAAACTCTACATTTAAAAGACGTCGCCCCGGAGCGCCAATTTTGATGATCTTACTGTTGACAATTGATTTTAAAGATAATCATTTTCGCTATCTGAATAATTGAAATTCCCAATCTTAAGCGATTCATAATTTGTTGTACATATTTCTTGCAAAAAAGCTTTACATAAGACTTTATAGATACTGCACTGATAAAAATTTTCACTTGAATCATGTTAACTTTGTCTCAGGATAATTCATATCATTCAATTTTTTTTATCTTTTGCTTCCGATTAATTTGTAAATGACTTTAAATTTCAGATTCTTGTTGGAAATTTGTCCTCTCAAACGTACAAAGTGGGACGGAAAAAGAAAAGCAACCAATATCCATCCTAAAGTCAGCAATCTGAGAAAAGCAATCGATCCATATATTGCTGATGAATCGCATTAAATTGTTATTGTAACATAATTGTGTACTTTTTATGTTATACGTACATACTACATAATTATCATTCATTAATATGATGTGATTTCTATTTTGCATAATACTCGTTATAATCTTTTATTTTTTACTATGTTTATTATAACTATTTGACTGCATTACTCACTTACCTAATTTTTACTTTGTATCTAATGTATATTACGTTGAGTTTGAATTATAATATAATATACTCAAGTATAAGTTTTATTTATATAATGTAGACTAATTATCCTACATTGAATAAAATTCCATTTATTAATTTTAAAATGATTTTATTCAATAAACTATTTTGTTGATCAAGAAAATGATAAATTATTGTTTGATACCTTGATAAGAAGCCTATAAATCGCACTTCTCATTCAACAACTAAATTATTTGCAATATTATATTGCCAAGTTAAAACTTTGGATGTATCCAGTAATAATAAACATCTCCAATTAAATTGTTCAAGATCTTTAATTAGAGCACTACTATAAGATCTGCTTCATTTGTAAATCAACAGAGAAATAAAAAAAACTTATTTTAGAAAATCACAGTGTTCATATTTAGTGAATTCGCAATGCAGCATTTTAAAATTACAAATATTTCCACTGAATTTGTTTAACAAAATCACAAAGTTTCTATTGTGATATTACAAAACAAACGTTCCATATATATTTACTAAAAATGCAACCGATGTTTTATAATTTTTCAAAACTAAGTTGAATTGAATGCGTAGTAAATTTGGGATACAGTATTTCAAAATTACAAATCAATTTTCACCGAATTTGCTTAACAAATTCACAAATATTGTGTTGTAATAATAGAAAACAAACTCCCATCAAATGTTTACATAAAAGCAACAAATTTTTTGTAATTTTCTAAAACTGTGTTTGACTGAATGCGTAGTAGATTTGCAATGCGGTTTCTTGAAATTACAAATCAACATTTTCGAAATTTGTTTCAACAAATTTACAAAGATTGTGTTGTATTAATACAAAACAATTGTCCACCAAATGTTTCCAAAAAAAAACAACAAATATATTGTAATTTTCTAAAACAAAGTTGAACTGATTTCGGTAGTAAATTTACAATGCAACATCTTTAAATTCAAAATCATTCTCTACCAAATTTGCTTCACAAAAATACATAGTTTTTTTTGCAATATAACAATACAAACGTCAGGTGTAAGTTTACTAAAAATTCAAAATTTTTTGTAATTTTTCTAAATTGAGTTGAAATAAATCGTGTAGTAAATTTACAACATGCGATTCTATTATTCAAAAAAATGTTATGCGTTAAAACTTCCAAAGCATTTTTTGTAAAATTAGCATAGAAATTTTTAACAGTGTAGGATCTCGAGACTGTCCAATCCTATGAGACCGTATGGTTTAATCTGGACCAAATTATTGTTGCCTAAATGTAGAGATTTGAGACTCCCCAGACCATTGAAGGAACTGGTTTGAATCTCTGTCAGATTATTATACCTTAATTGCAGATCTACAAGACTAGCAAGCGACTTAAAGTTATATTGTACCAAGTAGTTAATACTGTTGTTGTTCATGTAAAGAAAGCTCAAGCTCCTCAAGTCCGTGAAGGCTTTGGGATGAATGCTGGCAATTTTGTTATTTTCCAGGTAGAGAATTTTCAAGTTCTTCAGAGGCTTAAACATGTTTTCCTCCAACTTGCTCAAACTATTGTGACTCAGATACAAATATTTCAAGTTGTTGAGCCCGTTGAAAGCTTCGGAGTTGATGAAAACTACCTTGTTGTGATTCAAGCTCAGAATATCGAGATTTTCCAACCCCAAGAAAAGATTGTTCATCAGTATTTTCAGATAGTTCCTGCTCAAGTCGAGCTGGGTCAGCATTTTGATTCCGTCAAAGCACATGCTTTCTACCGTCTGTATGCTGTTGTTGTGAAGGTTCAGGAACTTCAAGAGAAGGAACTTCCTGAAGGCGAATTTTCTCAAAACCTTGATGCTCGCCCCAGACAAATCCAAAATCTTGATGTTGTTTCTTTTGGGGAAAGTGAAAGTGCTCTCATCCAATACGTCCAGAGTGCAGTTGCTGCATTTCACCCAGTGTGTTCTGTTTAGAGGAATGTCGAAGTTGTGAAAGAAGTTCGAATTGGCGTTGCTGCAAGTCATTTGTTGTCCTTGTAGGACGCTGAGGTGAAATTTGCAGATCTGCTTGGCTTCAAAGTTTGTTTGGACTTCGAGGAGTGTCAGAGTTGCCACTAGTAGGATCCATCTTGCCATTGTAACTAGAAAGAGAAAAACTTTATTTTGAAAGTGTCGAATATAAAAATTGGAAGTAAAATGATATTCCATCATTAGTTTTCTTTTGGCGAAATTTCTATGATCTGAAATTTTTCAGAATGTAAACTTGTTAATCCTTAGCTCGCACAAGTTTCGACTTCTGAGGGTTGTCGTTCGTAAGGGTGCGGCAGCTGGTTAATGAAAAATAGATTTCAAACCGACTTCTACACAGATCATCTTCACAGGAATGTGGAACGTGTTCCAATCTGAGTAGGTACCTAGCTGAAAATATATCAAATTTCTAAAACTGTCACATGTGATTAACCCAACAATAACAAAATATTATTGATAACAACGATGTAAAAGTTTAACAAACTGAAACACAAACTGAAAGTAGTTGGGAAAAAACCTCATGAAAAATACTAGACATTAGCAAAAATACAAAAAGGGTCGCAGACTACAAGGTATTGAATATAATGAAATATTGAAAATAAAGTGAACTCTCACTTTTAGAGAAAAATGAGACATTTAACTTAAGGAAAGTTTTTTCCTACGTTTTCAATAACCCCTACCCCCCTTTCAGTTGTCGAAATATTGAATTCTTGTATCAACTAGTTTTCAGCGATAAACGATAATTAACAAATTCCGTTGCTGGTTAAAATTGAACAACTTTTATCTTTGTTGAGTACGACATTGATATAATGCATCCTAATCAACAAACATATTCCAAAAAATTGATGGATGTAGCCGTTACTACGTGGTAGGAAATCATAATGAAGAAAAGAGAAATGAAACCACTTTTACTTGTAACTAACGTTACTGCAATGATAAAAAATATAGAAAGTTCTATTTCTCTTTTCTTCATTAACAAAAATATTATTTCTCACCAAAGTAGGTATTAAATTTATCTTTTTATTTGATATAAATAAATATAATAATATATAACATTTAGAAAGTGCCATAAACATAAAAACAACCATGGATCTCTTGTGAATACTTTCTTAATTTTGCAAGCACCAGAAAGTATATATTTTCTTTAATCATCACAGACTTTTAATTGCCACCGAGTTTCTAAATTATCTAAAAAAATAAGAGCTATGGTACCTTAAATATTTTTTTGCACAAATGCAGCAGTTCAATGCAGAATTTCATCTATTTGAATGTATTTTGAATGGGATTTTCCCAGAAATGCATCATTTAGAAGTTATTATTGAAAAAACAAGGTTTATGGAATACTCTTTCCGTACCAGAATAAAAAAATTTAACCAAACTCCTATACACTCTTTTTTATTGACGAAAAAGAATAAGTTAATATCGATTATAGCTTTTCTGGGTATAGTAGAAATTTCACACACACAGGCAACGTTGCATGGGCTTAGCGCAATCTTACTGAGCATATGCAACCACGAATACATCGGACGGCGTTATGTGTTTTCTGTACTTAACATAAACCAGATAATTTTAAAGTACGCCAAAACAATCTAAATGGCAATAGCAAAACTGTATGTAGATTTAACGTTATTGATATGAATGAAATTATAAAATAACAAAGTTGTATTAAACTACTTACGACAAGAACTTTCTTTCCCAACTGTAACACCGGGTCACCTTGATCTCTACATTTCCGCACAAAACTACATTGTTCTTGGATTCACACTACTGCGTCTCAGTCCACTTTGTAAATGCCAGTATACTGTTTATTATTCCTTTTAAACAGACAGCGAACTGTCTATAACTATGATGAAACTCAAGTTTCTCGAAACAATGTGAGTTCGTCGATCATTTACCTTTTTAATAGTGTTTGCCGTTTACTTCAGCGTGGCTGTAAGATCATTATTCATCCAAGGTCAGGTTCTTGCATGGGAAATTGAAATGAGGAGCATTACCTGCTGGGCCGTGGGCCTGAACTGCGACTGTGAATTCGATATTGGATTACGATGTGCCGGATATTGAGGTTTTGCACTAGAAAGGTAGCTAAAATCGAGAATGTAGGAAGTAACTGCCTAAGTAAAGAAATGAAACGGATATTTCGAAAGGGTTAGCAAATCAGCGGTTGAATTATTGTTTGTGAAACTGTAAAAGGAGAAGCCAAGAAACTTTGGCAAGTATACAGGGTGGCTCACAGTTCTGATTATCGTGAATATGTGATTATTTGAAGTAATTGAGGTCGCGCGTGAAAAGATAAGATCCTCGCCTGCTCAACTAAATCTCCTAGAGACTCCCGGGAGTTATTCGAGGCTCTTTCGTTTGAACTATAACATTTTGACAGTGTTTGGAATTTTAATTTTAGAAACAGTCTGTGATTAACAAACACAAATTGATATTTAGCTACTACTCCAATGAGTATGCCTTTTCGTCAAGCTAATGACCTGTGTTATTTACCCGTACCAGCTTTTACTTTAGTCAAATACTTCTTATATTATAATGATCTTAAGATGTTCAATCATTTACCTGAAGATTTTAGAGAATAACTGTAAATTTCAGAAGTCAATTGAAGATTTATTATACGATGGACACTATTATAGTTTAGAAGAGTTCTATGGGAATAGTTTTTTTCTAACTAATTTTATCATCTGTATTTTTAATACTGAATTTCCGAATTTTTAATATTTCAAACTTTTCTGGTATCGTTTCTTTAATATATCTCTCTTCAGTATTCGCATATTTTGTATGTGTTGGATAAAATTGTTAAATGTATGTGTATTCTTGTGCAGACACATCTTTACTCTGTATTTGTGCTATTTTAAATATGATTTGTACTATATGTCTATGTATATATCCTAGTTGTTAGGTGACTGAAGAATAAATTGATGGATGTAGCCGTTACTACGTGGTAGGAAATCATAATGGAAAGAGAAATGAAAATTTCTATGTTTTTTACCACTTTTATTTGTAACTAACGTTACTGCAGTTTCGTCCTATAAGGACATTTTCAAACTTATACAATAAATTCGTTAGTAAGTAACATAGAAATTTTCATTTCTGTTTTCATTATGACTGAATAATATTTGCAGCTTTATCAATAAGACCTGAGGTTCTTTGAGCAATGAAGCATATTATTATTCCTTTACTTCGTTTTCTAATAATAGTAATAAACGCTCATTATAAATGCAAATCGCAAAGATTTTATTATCGTTCCTGTCAATTTATTACCTGCAGTGGCGTGAGTCAAAAATGCTTGTTGAAGATAATAACTATGTTTAATAATAAATGTTTATTTTTAATAATAAATAGGTATGTTCATTTCGGAAAATATCAGGTTTGAGCAAAAATTATGGTGTTATCATCAGACCAATCCAATAAATCATCGTCGAATGTCCCGATTAAAGGTTCTACAGTTTCCTCAACTGAATGGTCTAATTTCCACATGTTTTCCTCTTCTTTTATAACATGTTTAATACATTATCGCCATATAGGCACATAGGGGCAAAAGGGGTAAGTCCAAAACTTCTCTTTTGTTCGTAGATTCTCGTTTTAAAATTTCTTGAAGTCCTTCCTACATACGCTTTTGAGCGTATGTAGGAGTTTGTAGACTCCTGATCTCAAATTGTCTATAAGAACAATTCGTTCAGGCAAGTTTCAAGTTACCTACAGTGCAGGTTGATGGACTGACACCTATAAGAAAACAACTACTTGATTTTCAATTATTGGAACACACTTGCAGACCGGTTTCAATTTGTGAAGGACTCATGATCTGTTATCCTCATCTACCTGTGACATTGTTGTCTACCCAAGGGGTTCCCAGTCTTATATGCTACGTGAATATTTTGTTTATTTAGTAGTATTTATATTTTATCTGATGTTTTTCCGGTATACATGTGAGTGTCTTGAAGATGCTATTGTTGTGAATTATGCCCTAAAGAAAATAACGCCTGCCGCCACTGGTAACCACAAATCAATGGTGACGTAGCGCGTGAATGTACGATGATTCCCCGCCACTCGAGAAGCAGTGAGAATAATGCTACCGACTTCGACAGAACTTCGGCGAAATTTCTACGGCATTCGATTATGATATTTAAATATTGAAGTTTCAGTTGAAGTTAAAGTGAAATAAAGTTAAGTTTGATTATTCAGTGTAGTCAATTACATTCAGTGGATGAGATATGTGATATGTTACTTTGGCAGCAGCAAATCCCAACTCATAAGATGTCAGCCTCACAGCATAAGACCCTGAGGATGACTTTGATTTGATACTCTTGACGTCTTCAAATTTCAAATCAGTGTCAATGGATAGTCCCAGAAATTTGGTTGATGGTTTATTCTCAACAAAGATGTTGTCAATTTGTAAATTGCTGATGGAACAGTTGAAGCAAAGTACCTTCGTTTTTAGAGATATTAAAACTGAGAAGATTTGCGTCACACCATCTTTTTATATTGCTAATATCATGATTTATTACTGTTTCAAGTTCAGAGGGATTTTGATCATGCCATAAAATTGTAGTGTCGTCAGCGAATAGTGTGAACTCTCCTTTAATATCAATAGATGTCAGATCATTTATATACAAAAGAAATAATAGTGGACCTAGGACTGAGCCTTGTGGAACTCCACAGTTTATATTTCCTTCCTCAGAATAATTAGTCGTTTTAAAAATTTGACTACGCTCTCATACCATACTGTTGTAATTTCCGAAGCAGTGTATCATGATTAACACAGTCAAACGCTTTCGATATGTCACAGAACACAGCAGCTGCAATCTCTCCATCATTTAATTTGTTATATAGACTGTACAATAATGAAAAATGGCATCGTGAGTGTTTTTTCTACTCTGGAAGCCAAACTGACTGACATTTCAATTATTTCATCCTTACTTTGTAGGCAAACCTTACGTGATAGATAAAAACAAATGTGATTTTTGAAATCAGCCAAAAAAACTACATAAAGATCAGTTAATGAAATCAAAACAACTTTTCAAAAAGGTGGTTTATGGTAAATTGTGTTTATTATTAATTTTTGTAATTGTGAGGTCTAAATAGTTTCTAAACATGCGCAAAACTAACTGACTGTTATAAGGAAACAAGTACAGCATAACGATAGTTTGAAATATTTTATATATATTTATCAAATATTTTTTTTAGGAAAATATTTACATGCCAGTTGAAATGTATACATGTGGTATTTGATGAAGAAATAAAAATACATGCTCCGTCTTTTCTTGATGGACTATTATCTACATTCCTGTGCTGCCACGCCTTTGGCTTCGCATATCTCCCATAAAATGGGGGAATACTTGAAGAAATTCAACGGTGAGTGTTAAAAACTGTGCTATTCTCTAGATTTTTGATAATTCCAATACTCTCTTTTGTAAACAGTTTCAGAAGTTGGAAATCAGTTTTATTTTTCATTTTTCCATTAATGAAACTCTACATTTAAAAGACGTCGCCCCGGAGCGCCAATTTTGATGATCTTACTGTTGACAATTGATTTTAAAGATAATCATTTTCGCTATCTGAATAATTGAAATTCCCAATCTTAAGCGATTCATAATTTGTTGTACATATTTCTTGCAAAAAAGCTTTACATAAGACTTTATAGATACTGCACTGATAAAAATTTTCACTTGAATCATGTTAACTTTGTCTCAGGATAATTCATATCATTCAATTTTTTTTATCTTTTGCTTCCGATTAATTTGTAAATGACTTTAAATTTCAGATTCTTGTTGGAAATTTGTCCTCTCAAACGTACAAAGTGGGACGGAAAAAGAAAAGCAACCAATATCCATCCTAAAGTCAGCAATCTGAGAAAAGCAATCGATCCATATATTGCTGATGAATCGCATTAAATTGTTATTGTAACATAATTGTGTACTTTTTATGTTATACGTACATACTACATAATTATCATTCATTAATATGATGTGATTTCTATTTTGCATAATACTCGTTATAATCTTTTATTTTTTACTATGTTTATTATAACTATTTGACTGCATTACTCACTTACCTAATTTTTACTTTGTATCTAATGTATATTACGTTGAGTTTGAATTATAATATAATATACTCAAGTATAAGTTTTATTTATATAATGTAGACTAATTATCCTACATTGAATAAAATTCCATTTATTAATTTTAAAATGATTTTATTCAATAAACTATTTTGTTGATCAAGAAAATGATAAATTATTGTTTGATACCTTGATAAGAAGCCTATAAATCGCACTTCTCATTCAACAACTAAATTATTTGCAATATTATATTGCCAAGTTAAAACTTTGGATGTATCCAGTAATAATAAACATCTCCAATTAAATTGTTCAAGATCTTTAATTAGAGCACTACTATAAGATCTGCTTCATTTGTAAATCAACAGAGAAATAAAAAAAACTTATTTTAGAAAATCACAGTGTTCATATTTAGTGAATTCGCAATGCAGCATTTTAAAATTACAAATATTTCCACTGAATTTGTTTAACAAAATCACAAAGTTTCTATTGTGATATTACAAAACAAACGTTCCATATATATTTACTAAAAATGCAACCGATGTTTTATAATTTTTCAAAACTAAGTTGAATTGAATGCGTAGTAAATTTGGGATACAGTATTTCAAAATTACAAATCAATTTTCACCGAATTTGCTTAACAAATTCACAAATATTGTGTTGTAATAATATAAAACAAACTCCCATCAAATGTTTACATAAAAGCAACAAATTTTTTATAAGGGGACGTTAATACTTTTGAAAAAAATTAAAAATCGTTTCTAGTTCTTTTGAGAATTTAATGTTCCTATGAATAAAGTTGGAGTATTAGATGAATGAATCTGGATTAAATGAATGAATGCTTGGAATCACACGTTAAGAAGTAAGGTTTTGTTAATCTTTAGCTCGTACAAGTTTCACCTTTGGCAGTTGTCGTTCGTAGGGGTGTGACAGTGGAAAAACATATTTAAACAGTTTTTTTTAAACTGATTAGCTGGATTAATCAGTTCGATTAGACCTAAATGAAACTATCATCGTATTAACGAAGGGTAATATATAAGATTCGCAAAAAACAAGTCATGACCTTTTATAAAACAATTTCAATCCCATAAACAACTGCACGAAAGGTATCAAATTCATTCTCGAACAATACCCGCTAATGAATACAGCAAATTATTGTTAAAATGTAAATATCCGGACCGATCGATTTTAATAGTAAAATGTTGTGGTTGGAGGAACATTGTAAAGTATTTGTTGTAATATTTTTAATCTGCTTGGAATGGACGTCGGCAACTGGTTTAGGGCCTTGTCCCAAAGTCAAGAGCATGGACAAATTGAATTTAACAAAAGTGAGTAAAGTTTCATTCGCTAACGGTTTCCGGGGTTTGAGGTTATGAAATTGTGTGGAGTAATGATGATGATAACTGCAGTATGGATTTTGGAAATGCAAACATCTGGTATAATATCGTTTCAAAATTTGAGAAGTGTATAGTTGGGCTATTGTTAACTCTCTTTTATGACTTTCAATTGCCAAACCAACGCTACATAGATTATCGTCAAAAATTATTTTTATTTTCTATCACAAATGAGGTAATACCGACGAAACATCTTGAACAGTTTCAACTAACTTTGGAAAATATACAGGGTGTTTGGTAACTACGGCACGAAATTTCAGAAGGTGATTCGTTAGGTAGTTTTAAGAAAAAACTTTTTAAACACTACATGCAAGATTATGTAGAACTGGGAGTTTTTAATAAAAATGCAGGTGGTGGAGCACCAGAAAGTGTAGCAACGCCTGAACTGATGCGATAGAAAAAGATCTTTCAAATAGTACCAGAAAGATTGCACTGCAGCTTGAAGACGGTCCAAAAACCGTATAGACAGTTCTAAAAAGAAACCTCCTATACCCATATCACATACAGCGGGTTCAAGCTCTACTGCCTCGGGATTTTCATCCAAGATTAATGTTTTGTAGGCCGTTGATTCATACGATGGCAACCAATAATAATTTTTTACCAAATATTTTTCTCACGAACGAAGCAAATTTTTCACGAGATGCTATAATGCTATTCGTCGGCCCATTTTTGGCCGACGAAAATCTCCGCGTTATTAGAGAAAGCTGAACGTTTGGGTAGGAATAATTGGTGACTATACCTGATTGGCCCATTTTTTCTACCAGCAAAGTTAACAGGTGAATCCTACACGGACTTTTTGTGAGATCATTTACTCATTTTGTTAGAAGTGCCGGTACTTGTGAGAGGCAACATGTCGTTTATGCACGACGGGGCTCCAGCTCATTTTAGTGTTCTTGCACGTCAGTATCTCGAAATCTCCTACCCTAGTCGCTGGATTGGACGTGCAGAATTGGCCAGCTCACAGTCCTGATATGAATCCTCTAGATTTCTATTCATGGAGTCATCTGAAGGCTCTTGTTCTCAAAATTCCTTTACTAGATGTGGATGACTTGGGGAATCGAATAATTGACAATCAATGGCAAATCGATTGCGGTTGTGTATTTTATCAGAAGGTGGACATTTTGCTCATTCACTTTAAGGTCGGGATTGTTTCTTTACTTTTGGTTATTATTTAATGTCGTTCATGGATCGTTTTTAGAAGTTTTTTTTCCCGTAAACGGAGTTTGGTATGAAGAAAACACAACCGACGAAGAAGTTGTATTTTTAGTTGCTTATTGTAAAAAAATTAAAATCTACCATAAAAGTCAGTGGCTTTCTTTTTTTTTCTCAATATTTTTGTCTGCGGGGCCCATTGAGCCTTCACTGGACCTAATAATTTCAATCTTGTTCGGGCTAAATAAGCGCCTTATAACTTCCAATAACTGTAGCAACTTTCAACCAAATCGGTGTAAGGATATCTATGATATCTTTTTTAATTCAACGCCCTGTATCTCAGAAACGCAGCAACTCTGGAAATATGTTCATATGTTCATAGATACTTCTTTTCTTTCTGACCCTGCAGCTCGTGTTATTAATTTCTCTTTCATTTTCCGGGTGCAATGGACTGGCTTGCTTGTGGATGGAGAGATGTTAGGGGAACAAACTTATATATTTAGTGCGTCTCCATAGAATGACACTGTGGGTCAAAATAACAAAAAAGGCGTGTATTTTAATGCATTCGAGTACGAAAGCATTGAATGCAAATTACAAATTTCCATTTTAGGCAAATGTGGTCTCAGGTTATGTATAATTGGAAATACTGCATTGAAGAAAATACTACGATGAAATTTCCTGATTGGGCTTTTATTACATTCTTTACATTCATTCATTTCAATGGATGCGTAGGCTACGATGAGAATGTAAATGTACCAACTCACCAGTAATTCTGAAAGCAAGTTACTCTCAATTTCCTCCTATGTTTTATGTTTTTTCATCGACATGTGCTTGATGCATTGGTGTTTTTGTAGCTGCACGTTGTACAAAATATTTTGATGACAATAGCACAAAAATCCCTGTGAAATCTTCTAAGGAGTTTAAAATCTGTTAGTTTTTTCAAATGACATGGTGATTTGCGACTTATTTTCTGATTTTCGTAGTGATTTACGTTTCAACCTTACAGACTTATCAGAGAAATGGTAAATTTGGCTGAAAAAATAGGCAGATCTCCAACTACAAAGGTATTGCATTGCTGTCTTCATTTTCAAAAATTTTCGAAAAATCCTATCTCATCAGACTTGTATCCTTCTGTAAAAAGTATAACCTACTCGCAAAGAGCCAATATGGATTCCAATCTGGTTTATCCACCCAAGATGCTACTCTTTCTCTGGTCAATCATGTTTTATTCAAATCTGAAAATGACGAAAATCGATCAGTATTCTATTTGATTCGTCTCGTGCATTTAAAACCATCAACTTCTCCTCGATAAACTTTATGATACTGGAATTCGCGGCCAAAGTCTAAAATGGATTAAGACTTATCTGACTGGCAAATCATAATCTGTTAAGGTTAGGCTCAAATCTGGAATATATCATTCTGAAAATCGTAACACATTAACAGGTGTTCCCCAAGGTAGTGCCCTGGGTCCTATTCTCTTTCTCTTATTCGTCAACGACATCTCTAAAATTAATCAACAACATTGTACTGTACAGTTTGCTGATGATACGTCCTTTTTATTAAGTTCTTCTTCTTGTGAAGGGTTATCTGACCAGGCTGATATTGCAGTTGCTAACATGCTTAATTATTGCGCCAGAAACGGCCTCGTACTAAATAGCAATAAATCTAATACCATTGTTTTCTCGCTTAGAGAAATGGACTGCAGTATATTAGTTAGAGCTAATACTAAATCTATTGTGCAGAAAAAATCAGTCAAATTCTCAGGGTTGAACATTGACTCCCAATTATCCTGGAATGATCATATTGACTCTATTTCTATAAAATTATCCAAGCATTGTTTCATCATTTGGAATCTCAGAAATTCTGTCCCTATAAATATTTTATTAAGTTACTACTATGCCTATGTTCACTCAAGTCTAAATTATTGCTTAGTCTGCTACGGTAACAGAAGCAAATTGAATGATCTGTTGATTGCTCAAAAGAAGATACTAAGAACATGTGTTTTAAAGAATATGGTGATTCTTGTAAGCAGTTATTTACTGAGTTACAAATTTTAACTGTGATATCAATGTATATTTTAAATTGTGTCACTTACATTAAGAATCATTACCAGCAAAATTTTCAGCAAAGGGATACTATCCGCATAGCTGCTGGTTATACTCTCAGGCAAAATTATAATCTGATAGTTCCTGTACACAAATTAACATCTGTATCAAACGGAGATTTCAATAAACTGTTCAGGATGAAACCTCTTTTTAAAATCTCATGGATGTAGCAGAGGAACCATATAATCTATATTAGGTTAGGTCCAAAGTGAGTGGGTCTATTCGACCCTCACCCGCAACCCGCAAGGGTTTATCGTGGCTCTAATGTTTCAGTAACAGGCATTATATTTTTCAGTTTTCAGGACATTGGCATGAAATTGAAAGAACATTTTATCTCATGGAACTGATTCGTAGCTGTGTGACTGTAGATATATCAGAACTGTCAAAAGATCGGCTAGGTATAGTGGTCAACACAAAAAGTACTTGGTGAGTGGCATATTGTTTATAAAAGTTTGGATAACTGGAAAATTATATGATTGGATTACTTTTCAAAACTGGATTTTTATCAGTAAAAAGTAATTTATAAGTTTTTGCTGGTATGTTTTTGGCAACAGTTTTTGACAGATCACGCGTGAATCGTGTCGTGTGTCATTGTCAAACCTGTTCAGTTTGGTCTATAATTTAACCATGAATCGACTTACGAATGAACAACGCTTGTAAATTATTGAATTTTATTATCAAAATTCATGCTCGGTGAAGAAAGTGCATCGTGCACTTCTTCCAATTTATGGGCAGTTTTGTCGGCCTACTGAGGGAGCTATTCGGAAACTTGTGACTCAATTTCGACCCAGTTTACATTATTGAACATTAAACCACCAACACGCATACGTAGAGTGTGGACCGAAGGAAATATTGCGGCTGTATCCGCCGGTGTTCGTGATGACCGTAAAATGTCGATTCGACGCCGTTCGCAGCAATTGGGCCTCTGTTACTCCACTACGTGGAAAATTTTGCGAAAGGATTTGGGTGTGAAACCTTATATGATACAGCTGGTGCAAGAATTGAAGCCACAACGTCTAACATTTAGTGAATGGGCGCTGGCAAAGTTGGAGGAAGATCCACATTTTTATCGAAAAATTGTGTTCATCGACGAGGCTCATTTCTGGTTGAATTGATACGTTAACAAGCAAAATTGCCGCATCTGGAGTGAAGACCAGTCACAAGCATTGCAAGAGTAACCGATGCATCCCGAAAAAGTCACTGTTTGGTGTGGATTATGGGTCGGTGCATTCATCGGGTCGTACTTCTTCAAAGACGACAATGGCCGGAACGTTACTGTGAATGGCGAGAGCTACCGTGTGATGATGACGACTTTTTGTTGCCCAAAATGGAAGAATTGGACATGCCTGACATGTGGTTTCAACAAGACGGTGCCACATGCCACACGGCACGCGAAACAATGGCCCAATTAAAAGCCGCCTTCGGTGAACAGTTTATCTTACGTTTGGGGCCCGTCAATTGGCCGCCTAGATCGTGTGATTTAACGCTTTAGGATTATTTCTTGTGGGGTCATGTTAAGGCTCATGTATACAAGGATAAACCAGCAAAGACTGACGCTCTGGAAGCCAATATTGAAGCATTTATACGTGAAATACCGGTCGATATGTTAGAGAGCGTGTGCCAAAATTGGACCTTGGGCATGAGCATGGATAACATTTGCATAAAATCATCTTCAAACATTAAATTATATTGATCGTTCTATCGGTTCCAAGAAAGATTTCATCAATTTTTTCAAATTTTTTGTGTTATTTTGAAAATCAAATCCTATACCTCTTAAAAAGTCACCCATTATAAAAAGTATTTACAGTACAGTTATTCGACGATTCTCCATAACAATTTTCTTCACTTTCTCAACATTTTCATCAGTTGTTGATGTGCTGGAGCGTCCAGGGCGAGCGTCGTCCTTCATATTTCCTAACTCAGGGTACAATAACCGTACGCCACTGTCAACATTTTTAATGTTTTTCAGCACTTACTTCCATTTTTCACACGAAATTTTGTGTGAATTTTTTGATCCAACAACAGAAAATCGCCGAACAGGCAAAACTTTCAAGCCCCTCATCAACAAACTAAACATTCTAAACAGCTGAAACTGATATTTCAAATACATTTTTTATAATTCAGGACGGGCACTTTTTCTATCAGCGAGGGTGTGGCGTCCCCTACCAGAAGAGATCCAAATATTTTCCAATATAAAGTCAGCAGCAGCTTTCCCAGAATTGTGAACAGATATCTACCAGGAGCAGGATTCTACCAAGTCCTAGATACAGACTATGACACCTATGCTGTTGTGTATTCTTGCTCCAACTGGCAGGTAGTTCATTCAGGTAATATTTTTTCAAATACACATCTCATTGATATTGTTTGAATGTTATTTGGAGAGGCACACAAGTCACTCTTGGCATTCATGAATTACTGTTTTCTGTAATTACTATTTGGAAGTTTCCATAAATATATAAAATTTCACATATTTTTATTTGTATGCTCTTCCAATCAACTGCGTTATGTGCGCCACTGTCGCTGGAGGGGAAGTCACAGTCTATCGCAGGTCTCATCTTTCCTCGTGAACCGTGTGGTCTTAAATCGACTAGCGACTCTAGCACAATCTGGGTCGTAGGTATCGCTTTGCTGAGCCAATTTATTTTTTTAGTCTACTAATGTTCACGTTGACAATTGATATATGTGTACTATGAGGTTTTCTACTCACGAACTCAGGTGTTTTGGATGATAAGCAGATGGCTAACAACACTGTGACAAGACAAATTATTCGATAAAAGTATTACTATTGTTCCAATAAACTGATGGATGTAGCCGTTACTACGTAGTAGAAGATCATAATGAAAAGAGAAATGAAAATTTCTATGATTTTACCACTTGTATTACACTTATACAATTTTATTGTTTAAGTTTGAGAATGTCCATATAGGACGAAACTGCAGTAAAGTTATAGTTACAAATAAAAGTGGTAAAAAACATAGAAATTTTCATTTCTCTTTTAATTATTACTATTGTTATTGTGTTATGATATGAGCAGAGCAAATTCATGTAGATGATGATTGCACACAAAAACCCTGAAATACCAGAAAAAATTGCCTATAATAATCTTTTCAATAAAAACACAGGTAATGTGCTCAACTAACAAGGAAGATTCCAGTTGTACAATATAAGATGTATTTTCAGTTTTTTGCCAAAAAATTGGTCCTTGGTAATATTTTATATAATTAAATTGATGAACATTGAGATCTCACTCATCTAATGCTGGAAATTACTTCTCGACAACGAATAGTAAGGTGAATTTTGAAACAGTTAAATATCAAGAAGGCGTCTGGTCCTGATGAAGGGCCTGTTTGAATTTACTCATTTTCTTGCATTGCGAATTGATACAATACCATTTTTATTTCAGATTTAATTTGGATTTGGGGCCGAAAGCGAGAAATAGACGTCGAACTGAGGTCTGAACTATACAGAAAATTGAACAATATGCAACTTGACCCTGAAAGACTTGTTTTATCCAAAACAACTAACTGTACTGACAGTGAAGATTTTTTAAATGATGATATATTGTATTAACATTTTAGTTATTGAAAGGGCTGAATAATTAACGTAGATCTCGAAAAATACATAGACTCTCAACTAGAAGTAAACTGCATCTCTCTAAATTTTCAAGTCAACTTTTAGGTCTATGGTATTTTATTCATTGATAAGTATATTCAGACTTAGTTTCCACAACACCAACTATTTTTCGAATACAACTTATATAGTATGAAAATAATATTTTTCACAAAATAAACATAATATATGCAAATTTCTCAATAATTAAAAAGTATTACTAATGGAAGATCAAATTTCTCACCATTTTCGAGATCTACTGTAAAAAAACACTTTTATTACTGTGAGAAATTTCTCTTTAATCCTTTTCTGTTCAATACTACTTTTTTGTTACATTCATATATGAAAAAATGTAAGGATTTTTCTGAGGATGATTATTATAATCTTATGTCGTTTTATCTACTCATTCTACTGACTTTCACAAAAACAATTCAATAACGAGTCATAATTGTTGAATAACTGTTAACTCAGACGATGTAAACAATATTTCCGAAACCATGACTATGATACACTATGGTAGTTAGAATCTTGTATCTCTTTAATCATCTACTGAAAATATTTCCGTTAAGAGTGATTGGGACTTATCCCATACATTGAATAATGAAATCCAAGTTATATGTTCTTCTCCTATTATGAAGCTCTTCGAAAAATGAATATTCTAGCATGATTCCCATTTCAACCTATCTGTTAGATTATTCACCTTACAAAAATTAAACTTTCATTGCAAATTTGCTCCATTGAATCCATAAAATAAATGTATTACCTTTGTATATAGAGGTTAGTCTATATACAAAGATATTACCATACCATTGTCTAAGCATTGTCTATAGACAATGGGTCTAAGTTAGACAATGACCGTACCTTTGTATATAGACTAAATACAAAGACCGTACGGTGCCGAATGGTTTCTGTAATCAAAAACAACGTTTGTGTTTGTGGATCCAACAGTATTTAGTTGTGCTATTTCATGGTAGATGGCTGTACTAGTTATATTTAAAATTTGAATAAGTATAAGAAGCGATCAATGTGCTGAATTGATTTGAGAGCTTTGAGATTAGAGCAGATTGAAAAGTAGTCTTTTTTATATCACGCACGAAATTCAAATCACTTTCTCCAAACACCGTTATTGACAAAAGCATGGAGTGAGAAGGAAGACATCAAAATTAAAATTCATAAGCATCAACTGTTCATATACAGGGTGGCCAACGGCCATTTTTGGCTGCACTTAGCAGCATAAGTTGTTTTTCTTGCAAATACTTATACTAGATCATTTTATTTGGATTTTATTCTAACCAAGTGACGTAGAACCTAAAATTTTAGTTTCAGGATTATTATATCGATCTCACAGACGACTTTAACGGTGGGTATACCTGTATAATCCTACGTTTATGGAATGGTACTCTTCTTGAATCTAAGAACTTTTCAAAATAAGTTAAATATAGACGGTATATTTCAATAATTGGATAGAAAAACTCCTCTCAACTTACCAAAGATCCCACAATATTTATTTGAATTTTTTAAAGAATGATCAGGGTAGATCTGCTCAAGTGTTTCTAAGTGTGAGGGAGTGAAAATATGAAGTGCCGAGTTCAAGTCAAGCTCATTTGAGAATAAAAAGATTTTACAAAATCGCTGTTATACCTTCGATACTAATGCCTTGATAATTCTTTTGAAATGATTTTGCAGTAGCGCAAAACATTCATTTGAAATTTTGTTTTTCCCGTTTCTATCTTGTTTCCGAGAAAATAAATACATCCTTTGCCTTGGCCGTGTACATATCTGAGAAGTTTCAGTATGCAGAAAACAGCTGTTGACTATTATGAATACATAAAAACAAAGGACTATTTCCTATAAAAACTCCTGACTAGAAGGTCTGACCCCTCTGGACCTGTATGTTCATTATAAATGAAATTTATCTATCTTCTAACAAAAAACATACCTTTGCTACGTATATTGATTGAACTAACTCGACAAGTAAGTTAACATTGTTCATTTCAGTAGTTGACTTCGTTTCTGGGTATTTCGTTTGAAATATTAGTGTTTTCTGGTATTTTCATTGGATTCAATCTGTTTTGATTTGAGTTGTTCTTAGCAAAAACAGACCCCATTTACTGTTAACTTGGCTAAAAGAAACTTTTTCTAGGCCTCCTATAAATTGGACCTCTCAAATACCTGATATTGAAAAATAAGCGATTATAACAGTTCTTAAATTGAATTGAGTCCTTATGCTCCTTCCATTTTGAATTTTGATCCACCTTGGAATAATAATAATAATAATGAATTTTATTATTGCATGAACAGCTTGTATATTTGATTATAATTGGTTTGATCGTCAATTACTAATTGAAGTAGTTGGAGTATATCTGACAACTATTTATTTACATTCCAAATATAGCAGATTATTTAATTCCAGTTTAAAAAAATTGAGAGTTCCTCATAACCTTTCGTATAAAGATAGAAAAGTGAAAGCCTGAAAGTGTTTCTCCCAAAAAGTTATCTCTCGTGAAAATATCCCTTTCCTTCAGTTGATCTTTGATTTTTCGCTGATTCAGTAAAAGTGTTTGATTCAATGAAGTTGTTTAATTTCCTTTTAATTTTGACATTAATCATTAGTTACTTTTAACGTTATTGAATATGTGTTCAACTGTAATGACAACGAAAACAAATCATTTTTGTTGTTTATGATTTCAAATTTATTAAAATTTCAGTGAGCCATTCCCAGTTTGAGGTTAAGATTTATTCTGTGATATTATATGTTGATTATATGTTGTGTGGCATAAACATAATCTTATGATCTATACATTCTTCACATTCATGAAGAAAAACCTGAATTTTAATGTAATTGTATGTGAATATATGTAGTTCACATGTGAGATTTTCTGACGCAAATATCCAATCTTTCTTAACGATTTATTCATTTAAGTATGAAATAACATCACTATTGAACATATGCAAGCTGTATGCTATCAGAATTACACAAAAATTGCTGCTGTTTTGTTTATTCTCTTTCACCTGTAAAAGAAAATTTATTCTTTATAAAAGTATTTGTTTTATAGAGTATTTTGTTGATGAAACGTGCCAACTGTACATTACAAGTGAATCGATCCTTATATTATTGTAGGAAATATTATTTAACATATACCCATTTAAGTTCCTTTGCCAATATCAACTAATCAAATCAATTTCCATTAAAAATCAAAGTCGCAAACTCTAGGTGAAAAATTGGACCCGGCAACGCCGCAGATGCACGGCACATTGCATCCACCACCGCGGCGAAAGCCAATGGAGAACTCGAATAACGGTCACGTGTCCACTGGAGCAAGACTCAGTTGGCTGGTCGGGTTGTTTATTTTGAGCTTCAGCATCTTGATTTGGAAGTTCGTGTGTGTCGATTGTCACTCTTGGTAGCGTCGTGAGTTCAGTCAAGTTTCCGTGAGTGCATTTTTTTACGAAACCGCATGAAATTCGGGATTTGGTGACGATGTAAGTCGATATAGTTCAGTGGGTGAATTCGTCGCGGAGTTATGGAATTGGAAGTATAAACGGGCCGCTGGGAGAAATAGTTTTCCGAATTGCGTTTCTGCTCGTAGTTTTCGAAATGCTGGGTGTTCTCAAACGCCGTTGGAAGCCAAAAAGGTGAATACGATAAATTTTCAGTTAAATATAGTTTCGGCCTTGTTGGTTGCTGAATATTCCACAGCGGCATGTATTTACGGTTAAAAATAGACGATTTTTTCGGTGTGACGCTACGTAGATTTTCTTGAGCTATGCAACAAATGACTGAAAGGTTGCAGGGATTACCGGCCTACTTATTTTGTGTGATACTTGTGTCACATTCGAGAATTGCAAGGTTGTCTTTTCGGGTTTGTTATTGATCCGTGTTCTGTCACTTCCCTACCCCCATTTTGTCCTGCCAGCTGATCGCTGTTGCTGGGTATCGACCGGTTTCCTAACCTAACTTCACCCTGGATGTCAATCTGGGAATTTGTGCACGTTCTTCAATAATCTGGACTAGTATTGGCAGTATTGCCACAGGATAATATTCAAATTGATACCACATGCTCCAGATTACTTAATGAAATGATAATGAAAACAAAATTTTACAATTTGGAATTCAAGAGTAAAATTTTATTTCATTTTGGCCAGTGAATCAACTTAACCTTTATCCATTTGCGACCGAATATTATATTACAGTGCTCATCTCATAGAATAATCTTTTGGTTCTTGAAAGCAGTGACGATTTAGTTTCGACTTTTCACTAGTTGTCACTCGAAAATGATAATTGAAAATTTCACTAAAATCTGTACAAAATGTAGAAGTTGTATAGGTAGGTACATTATTTTTGCCATATTAACGAATATTATAATAGTAATCATATATAATTCTTATAAAAGTAACTGTCATAATTCAATGTCATAGCCTTCGTCTCTAATATTTAAGTATAGCCCTGGATATAGATGATGCTAAAATTAGTAATTTTTATTTTATTTATTTATTGTTTCTGCTACCTTTAATAAATGAAAAATATTAGAAAACTATAGAATGGACCCCCTAATTATGAGTAATTATACATTTTGCTCAACTGAAATTGGTAATTTTTATTTTATTGGACCTCATATCTATCAATACCTATTAATGATATTTAGGTCTTTTTACTTGTTAAGTATATGTTTTCTAAAAATTTAAATGCTGTTTGAACATTGAGATGAACGTTTAGTCAGAAAGTCAATGAGGTTCGAAAAATCAATTAATGAATTGAATATAGGCCTGAGTATAGGCCGGCTATGTGCAAGAAAAAATATGTGACTTTAATACAGTAGATAAAAATATAAGACATGTTTTCATTTCACATACCTACCTTGAGGAAGTTGAACTATTGATTTATACATATTTAATCGCAAAATATTGAATAAATTCTTCAGAAAATGTCATGAAAAAATGCAATTTTGTGTGTGCGTTAAAAATTTTGTGCCTACCTATGCTCTTAAGTAATACTGTTACTTTTGCCGATGATTTTTCATTTGAAGAGAACACCGATGGCTTTCATACATTTCAGGAAAAACTCAACACTAAGTCAACGGAATATACATGGGTATAGTCGAAGTAAACGATATTGTGAACTCTTAAAGTTGACGGCACTCTCAAAGGCCAAAAAACCAACACATAAACATGAACCGGTAGCGAACTAGTCAACGTGGAGTGTAGACTTGGCGGTTCGTATTGCATAATTTTTACTAACCGAGTTTTATGATTAGTTGAAGAGTCATAAAATTAAATTTGAAGTCATATTACGGTGACGAATAGAAATCGGTATTGCGGGGATAGTTATCGCCGTCGTGTTCAGTTCAGAAACTGATTGCGATTTGAGTGTTGAAATTCGATATTGGTGCAGTTATAATTACTTGAAATTTTGTTATCTGTTTTAAATGTGGCGTCCTTGGATAATCACTAATAGTAATAACTAGTGTGATAACAACGCATACTTTTTCCAGTGTAGTGATACCAATAGCGTTGGTGAACCATGCGAAAAAGAGATACCAGTGAATAAGTTTCGGATGCATTTGAATATTGAAACACAAAGAGTACGTTTCAGTGTGTATAAGAATCTACATTTCAAGTTTGGTTTCGAGGGAAAGAAACTATTACATGCAACATCAGATTTGACCGAAATTCCTTTCTCAACTGTATGTAAAATAGTCAAAAACAAACTTTATAAACGCAAGACGCGAGGTGATACAGGATTATCAAAATATTTAGATGTTCATCTCATAAAATCATTGAAAAAAAACAGTATACGACTATTACTGTGACAAAACTCTTTAGAATTGCATAAAGAAGACTGGCAGAAAAGGATTAAAAAAGTAATTTTAGTTGAAAAAGACTATATGGAGATTGGACACTTCCATATTAATGGTGGAAATAAATTATTGATTTGAATGACGACATTGATAGTGAATCAGAGAATATGGAAGAGGAAGCTTTGCATATCGATTGGGCCATTTTACTTGCAAATCCATACACGAATATTTTCTCGTATTTTAAAAATTTTCTATTTAATTTTTGAACTTTAGGATTTCGACTGTGAATTATTACTGGAGTAGTAACTAGTAATGTAAATGTGTTTGGTTCTAATTGAATATCATTTACCTAAGGCGTTTGTTTCTACCCACATGTTCACAGAACTTGTTAAGACTGCTATTGCAGAAAGTTAACCTCAATATTATTACATACTAGACCATTTCTTGGTAATACAGTTTTCATCTGTGGTCCATTCGTTTTATATTTAGTTAGCTTTCCGAAACTCAGGCGTAATCACGTATTTTAAACTCAAATTTCGAAAGTCAAATTTGATTAAATTCCAGGATTGGTTTACTCATTTGCTTTTTTATTGTGAATGGGGTTTTGAAAGCTCTAATTATTTTTCAATAACTTTTTTCTCAAAAATAAAAAATGAATCAGGGAATGCAAAACGTGTTATTGGGGTTGTATACCTAGCAAATTCCTGCACCAAGAAATAAAAATCGAATTTACCATATACGATTATGACCTGATATATATCTATATCTAGTTTGTGAGGATGGATGTATATTTTTATGTTTGAAGGTGGTTGACAATGTTTCGTGGTGTATTTCATCAGCTCGGATTTCCATTGTCTTATATAATATAAGTAAATTGATTTGAAATCCCTGAAAGAAATTAAAAAGATTAACCGAAAAATAACAATTTTATTGAACAAAAAACTGAAATTACAAAGAAATAACATACAAGCAACAATGAAAAAAATAAAAAAATGAAATATTAATACACGCTGAAAATAAAAAAATTGAAAATATTAACAAATAATTGAAAATTAAAAAAGAAGTGATTAATTTTTGGGAAAGAAAGTTTTTGGCTTTCTACTACTCCATCTTGACACAAAAAAAACTCACTGGTGAGGATGACAGTGTTCCATGTAAGTGCAATTTATTACCATTCATTTAAAGTAGAACTCCTGTGAATGATATCTGAATTTCATTCCATAACGAATGTTTGGAATACAAACTGAGTAGAGAAAAGTATCTTCTGTATAATTTAGTGTTCATGTAAAAGTATTTGTTTCGAAAGAATATTTTTCTTTTGTGTAATTCAATGCTTATATGAAAGTATCCGTTTCAGGAGGGCTTTCTTCCAGTTTGTGTCTGCAAGTTGCTTCTTTGCATGATCTACACATCCATGTATAGAGTTATTTATTTTCAAATTGATTACTTCCTTCCTTTTTTCCTTTTTCATTTTTTTAGTAGTAGTAGTAGAAAGCCAAAAACTTTCTTTCCCAAAAATTGCCAAAAAGTGCTTGTGAAAAAAATTGTTATAGAAATTTTATGTACCCCCTTTAAGGGGCTGTATCTCAACAAGGGATGCTCCAATGAAGTTTCTTTTTATGAAAGATCCTATCTTTTTTTCGATGAGGAATCACCTTAAATGTTTTACACTTATTCAGTTACACCCTGTATAGTGATAAGATGGAAAGAGTCAAAAATTAAAATTTGGGAAAGAATAGAAAATTCTCTATCGATCAGTATATACCAGTATATATCAGTATATGGAGCTACAAAAACACGACATTGAAACGGACAAAACTTTTCAAACAACCTGACGACTCAATATTTTGGCAATAATATTGGGGCAATCAAAGTTCCAAAGAATTGATTTAGCTTCATGACCACGAAGACTCGAATCATCATCAACCATTGATCGGGTGTACGTAAATACGCACATACAGGTTTATATGGGGTGTCCAAATAAGGAGAGCCAGCCTGTCGGTCGACCGGTAGCTCGGTGCAATTCAATTGTTTCTCTCTATTACGATGATCCACATAAACACGACCTGCCTCGCTCACGCCGGTCTTCATTCATGCGAGAAGACCTGTTTTTTCTTGTAAAGTGTAGCCAGAAGCGAGATATTTCTTTAACAACCTTGTTGTCTTTCGCCTTTCGGACTGGTCTGAATTTTTGGTGCACTTTGATTAGCAACATGTTGCACACTATATTTTTTTCTGATACTCTTGTAATTGTTTTGTCCAAAGTAGGGCGGAGGAAGGGAAATAGTTCATCAGCCAAAAGCGTATGCTGTCTCTAGCCGCTTTTTCTCCTACTTTCGATTCAGTTTTCTTCCGATCGAGTAATTCTAACCGAAAGCCGTCAACTGAATCATAAAATGAAAAATACCAACAGTGTATTGAATATCAGTTTCGCGTGATTTCAGGAATGCGATATCGTAACCGGATATATTGAACATTCAGCTTTCCAGGGTTCATTTAATGGGAACTATGTTGACGTTTGCAAAGAAGTGGAAAAGTGCGCATCAGATGACTTAGTGGGCGTAGATTTGACGAAGGGTAGATTTCACGAAACACAGACAGACGTGTTACAGTGAGGCGAAGGAAATATCGAATGAAGGAATAATTGAAATTATTGTAGCACAGAATTTTTTCTCAAAATTGACTCGAAATGTTTGATTATGAATGGTATCTGTATCTGTACAGTAGGGAGGGTGAGTGTAAGCCCACAGCACTTAGGCCACATTGTGGCCCATTGTACATCCTCCCGAAGAGTTGTCCTCCTAGGTCATCGTCCGTCCTGTCGTTTCCAGGAAGGTG